GGCGTGAACATCGTCCTGCATTGAGGGCAGCTGTGGATGTCTTTCCGGTCTTCCTCATCCCAGTGGGTTTTAATACAGCTCATGCAGTAGTTGTGTCCACAGGAAATAGTCACCGGATCCTTCAGGAGATCCAGACAGATTGAACAGCTGATTTTCACCCTGTCTACCTGGTTTCTTTGCTGCGCCATTTCACCTCTCACAGCAGAGAGTGTCATTCACTTTCCTCACAGCAGATAAAGCTGTCAAACAGGTACGCTGACATTCTTGTCTTCTACATTTACACACTGATCTGCATTAAAGTGGCTTGTTCCTCTTGCACTTCACAGCTTGTTGGTTACACCCATCTCTGACTTGTAGCTCTATGAAAGGGGATGAGCCAGGAAATGAACTGTGCCATCAGAGGGAGGCCTCCTTGTTTGAGAAGAGGGAGGGGTTCTAGGGGTACTTTAGTAGCACGTTGAGCTGCAGCTTACAGATTTAAAGTGTTCATTTTTGGTTGATGTATTGACCTCTTAGCATGATTTGATACACGCCTGTAAATATGTCAAAGTATTCGTGTGAGTGGCTGAGATTGTTCATTGTTAGTGTTTTCAGCTAGTAATAGCCTTGTAGCGGTGAAATGATACAACAATTCACAATACGATATTCCCTTGATAAAAGATTCACAATACGATTTTTTTTCACAATGTAAAAAAAAAATTTGAGAAAAAAAATATGAAAAACTGTTCCTTACTAGATAATAAAACATTTTCTTTTGTATAATGTACATAAAAGATAATGCAGCAATCAGTAGTGGATGTTTTATGAAATAAAATAGCATCGCAACAGCTGGATCAGTGTTATAGTATACTGTAGTTGATTTCCCTGAAATGTGCTGATGGAAAAGTAGAACATCTTGCAAAATGGATGCCTCTAATAAAGGACCATTGCATCCAAATGGTGTTGGAGAAAATACCCTTAGTTCCTTCACATAGGACAAGCTGTAAATATCGTCTCTTTCCCATCAATGTTTGCTGTTTGTTCACTATTACTGGTAGTTCTAAATAAGATGTAATTTATGAGCAGGAGGTACAGTTTATCAACGTCACAGGAAGTCAACAGCACCAACATCACAGCAGGTTAACGTGATGCCACTGCATTTGTTTTATTTTCACAGATGAATGCATCTTTTCTTGGTACAAATCAGGGGTTTTGTTTTCTCCAAACGCCCACGCCCTGATTCCAACAAACATACATGTTTTATAACAACACACATCACATTACAGATCATTGTTAGCATTACAGCATGTCTACAACATGTTCTCACTTCTCCTTATACTTCAACACAGGACCAGTTTTCCTAAAGGCATCTTGCAATGAAACACAGACATCCAACCGCTTAACTTTAATTTAGGGCTTAAAACGCTCACAGTGTTTTTGATTAGCTGATGAACTGCAAAGAAATAAAACCGTTTTTTTTTTCTTCTGGTTTTTAGCTACCAGGTTCAACATTGCAGGGTTCATTCTTGGCATTCCAGAAACCAAATCATCTTTAAAATGAAATAATTTAAGAACCTTATGTCCTAAACAATTCAATACAAATCCTCAAGCTATTCATACGTTACAGTTTAGCTGATTGAATTCACTGCAAATCAACTCGGATTCCTTTTAGGAAAACCAGCCCAGTTTGGTTCAAAATTGTCATTCGTTCACGGCACGTAAAAAAGAAAGAAAGAAAAAGAAACGGTTCCTGTTTAAAATGATGTGAAGTGACCACACACACTCAGACACACACTGCTTTTGATAAAAACACAAAGGGTCTCATAGCTGCAGCTGCCCCGGGTCGAACCACGCTGAACTCCACTCAGCTACTTTGAGTTGCAACAGTTGAACCACACTGACTCTCAGTAAATACTTATTTAACTTGATCAACCTGTGAGTTAAAGCTGCGTTCAAGTCCCAGACAAAGAATAGTATGTTTTATGTGAAAACACCAAGACTTTATTTTTCCGGTCTTGTCTTTTGTTCATTCACTGACAACATGGATGATAACAAGAGCTTCTTTTTACTGGGACGTGAATGCAGCACAACACAGTGAAAGACTGCAACAGCAGTGTGCGAAAAGGAAAGCAAATGGCAGTTACATGTTACTAAAATCAGTTAAAGTTAGTCAACTGATATGTTTACAAGCTGCATTCAAGGAAAACCAAGGCTTGACTTGACTCTTCTGGTGTTACAATGCATTTTTTAATTGGTAAACCTTGCATGCAACAAAAATAAGAGGTTTATTGCTACTGCAGCTAAAAGATATGGTACTTTAACATTACTGGGGATAGTATCATCACATCAACACAAAAGTCAGCTGAACCGAAAAGATTTCAGCTGCTTGTTGACCCAGGTGTGGCTGCACTGCTAACAATATCAGCTGAAGGCTCCTTATGGTTTAAAGCAAAGGGACAAGAATTAAGACGACTGGGTTCGTAGCAGGCATCGAAGGTCAGAGGCTTAGACACTGATTACAAGAGTTTGACTGCTGCTCAAGTTCTTCTCCAGGTACTTCGGTAGTAATAGCGTTAGCTTGTTGGCAACAAATTAAATACTTTATTAGTGTTAGCAATGAGAATGCCATAAGTTTTTAATAATGAATAGTGTCAGTACAGAGAGTTCAAGATGATTCATTATCTGCTCTAAAGCCGCAAGCATGGTACAAGATAAAAATACTGATTTTGACCATGAACACATTTGATTCTTGCAACTGAAATCTGAACGAGCAGGTACTCGTAGTAAATTTGAAAGCTGAATCATCTCGAACACTGCAGCAGCTTCAACAGCGCATCATGTCAAACTCTTAATCAGTGGAAAGTCAAGGTCGTGTTAAGGTTGTGGTAAGGTCGGAACACTGCATTAGCTCAATACATTTATCCAGATGATGACTGACACTTCAAGTTTTTAAAAAGCTGACCCCCTTTTCTTAATGCAGACAAAAAACACACACCATACTTAAGTTAAAACCTTACACTGGTGAAATTACTCACTTATTTACACACACACCTTTCCTTCATCCTCAGTGATTTTTATAACTAGAGAAATTGACAGACAACATTATGGATGGAGTGATATGATTGGTGGACCAACCACTATGTCACAGACACATGACCACGTAAAGAAAGAGATCCATCACTGTCCAGTCTTTTGTTGAAGCATCTGCTACCAAATCTATCAGGACCTCGACTTTAAGGTAAGAACACTTCCATTACAGTTTGTCAGCACCATTCTGAAACCTTGCTTCTCATGTTTTTCTTTTGAACAAGTTGCTAGCTACTGAAAATATATTTTAAATGACAAAATGTACCCATGTCAATGTGTGAAATCTTTATTCAAGATATGAAGTCTCTTTGGGAAAAACAAGGTTTCTGCCAGAGCGCTGACACACTGTCTGTAATGGGGTGGTTTATTTTTACTGTAGTATTTCCCCCCCCCCAAACTACTACTGTTTCTCTACTTCACAACCACAACTGACTCACACAGACAAACAGAGCTAATATTTACAGTATTTACAGGCTGTTTTATCTTCCAAACTGCAGGTGGTAGGAGAGGCAGGGAGCTTCGGGGCTTGGACTGGAACATGTCATTTAGCTCAGTTATACTTAAGGTTGAAAAGTTGTCTGAGTTATTTGTGAAATTGTGACGTTTGGAAGTCACTCAGTTAATCTGAGATGCAGTCAAAGCTGGGGAGTAGATGAAGGACAGTGTGTTTATGCAGTAAGGCTTATTGTTTTCAGTTTTTATTTTTTGAAATTAAATCTTTATTTAGAATATTTTAAAAAGGTTAAGCTAAGAATAAGGTTTCAAAAATCCATGCTACCAAAGTCCAAGCGGAAATTAGGTTTTAAACTGTTTCAATGTACAGGAGCATGAAAAGGTACAAGGTATTCAACAGTTTGGAACATACTTATTCCCCTTTTTTCTGAGTTTAATAAAATTAAATTCTAGGAGGTGATTAGCCTAGCTAACCACTGTTATGACAGTGTTTCCACAAAGCTCAGTTTTGCCTGTACACGCCAGCGATTTCAGATTTATGTACTCCAGAGGGAAAAACACTTTTTAGTTTGGATGAACAGCCAAGCTAAGAGAAAGGTGTATTTACAGATTTACCCAGCTTAATGTAGACCTAGTCTTAGACATGCTGGAAGGAGTATTATTGTTCTAGGGACTGAGCCAGGCTATCTGTTTCATTGTCTTTAGTCTTTAGGCCCAGAAAACAGTAACTTTTTCATCTGGACTAGAACTTACTGTAAATGGGTCTACTCCTTTTCTGAGACCTGGATATAGTTTGCTTTAAATTGGTTAAAACTGAAAACAGTGAGCCTTTTGTAGAGTCAATAAAAATAGTAGAACCTATGGAGGAAAGAGCGGGGATTTCAGAGGAAGTGGATTTTATCAGCAGCGTAAACAGGCACAGTACTGAGATATCTCCTTGGAATGGTGGGCGCCAAGTAGAAGAAATGCTAAACATCCTTCAGGCCAGCGGAAGGAAAGCTGGAGGGTAAAGGCAGGAGAAATGGGACGTTTCCCAGAATAAATGGAAGACATCTTAGTCGCCAAGTGGCAAGGACTACAGAGAAAATAATCCCTAAGCCAGTGAAAATGTTTGTAGTGAATCAGTATTTATACCCCTATGAAAGTGGTTTAAGGCCTTTTCACAGCCTTAGTTAAGTGTCATTCAGATCAGACTTAAGAGCTACTTCCACAAAATGGTCCAGTTCCATGAAGTGCTAGGTGATCAAACAGGGACATGTCCTTCATGGTGTTCCAGTGCAGATATGGTAAATGTCATTCAAGCAGCAGTGAGGTGACTTCAGTAGTGTCTAGCCAAAAAGAGAATGTAAACACTTTCTAGAACAGCAGCAGAGACTGGTCTTCTTAAAGTCTTCAGTAGATTAAATACCACGCGGTCTAGACCAGACCAGGTGAGGACTGTTTCCAGGGGTTACCATGGATATAACATTGGAGAACTTTGTGTTCCAGTGGATCAAACGAGACATGTTTGGATTCCAGTAAATGAGGGAAGGGGTAGAACCCGTACAGTTCTTGACCATGGGTGAGGGAACATGTTTTGCTTCTACTTAATAAAGGGGAGCACATTCCAGACCAGAGATGTGGGAACCTATTTGCTTTCCACTTAATAAAACCTGATGTTCTCTTGACCAGACTTTAGGGAGCTGGTTAAGCCTTCCATCTGATTAAGACCACATTCAATCTTCTGTGGTTTTCAGTTAATGAAAGCAGACAAATTCTAGACCAGAACTGAGGGAACTTGGTTGATTTCCAGTAGATAAAACAGGTTTAGTTCTAAGCCAGGGTTGTTGCTTGGTTAAAGATCAAGAAGGATGTGGTCTACACCAATGATGACGAACCTTGTTTGGTTTTCCGGTGGTCCTAGACCAGATTGCGATTTCCAGTGGATGAAATAGGTTCCTGACTAGATCAAAGTAAACTTGATCTGAGGGAACTTGTTCAGTTTTCAGTAAATGAATGGTGATGTGCTTTAGATTAGAAGTGAGGGAACTGGTCTGGTGTCCAGTAGAAGAAACAGGGAATTTTTCTAAACCACAGGTTGGTAAAATTTTAGCATGCCACATGAACTTGTTTGGTTTCCAGTTGAAAAAAGGGGACATCTGGGGTTCATGTTCTAGACTGGAGGAGAGGACGCTGTTTGGGTGTCCAGTAGATCAAAAACAGTAGTGTTATGTTTGGTTCGCAGTCGATAAAGGGGGGTGTGTTTTAGACCAGAGGTGAGGGATCTTGTATGGTTTCCAGTACTGGTGATTCTTGTTCTGGTTCCACTGTCTGGTCTTCAGTGCTGCTCACAGTGTTGCAGTCTATGGGAGCCTCGTCCTAACAAACACAGGAATCAATAACACGATTTAGTTTGAAAGTGAGTCCTCGGATCACCTTCATGCAGTTGTGTGGTAATAAAGAGGTGAGCTATAAAACTCCTTTATAATCCGTCTGTGTTTAGTATTTGTATTTATATGGATTTGTGTGCATGCGCTCTTACAGTCACCCAGGGGTGCGACAGGACCTCCTCGGCGGTGAAACGAGCATCCACATTCACCTGCAGCATCTGACTAATCAGCATCTGAGGAACAGGTAATGTGACTGTTAACAGCATGAAGTAAACTGTGAAATGTTTGTGTAAACATAGAAAATTCTGGTACTTAATATTGTGTGATTTGACCCTTTTATATAGTAAAATAAGTGTAGTTTCAGTTGCATTTGGACGGGATTTATGTCTCTGAGGCAGGTGGGGTCATTTTAAAATCACCTGCACCAGTCAGCAACTTTTATGTAATTTTCACCCAACAGCACTGTTTGCTTCATTAGACTTAAACTGTCGGTAGTTTGTTTTCTAGCTGACTGGAAGCCTTGATGTCAGACACTGGTACCTTGGCTGGGAGGCTGATGGTGTCCCAGTCTGGAGATGGAAACTCCAGCTTCCCTCTGAGGATCTGATCGAACAGCTCCTCCTGGACATTATTCTCACTGAAAAGGAGGAAGCTATTACTGACAACGTGATATCGATAGCCATTAGAATAAAAACAAAATATCTAATATAATAAAGGCACTGAATGATTGAACAAATGAAAGTTCACGCTTTCTCATGAAAATGAATGGGAAACTTTTGGTTGGTTGCATCGGTTGGAAACGTTGCATTCACTTACCTTCTAAATGGAGGAAATCCACACAGCAGGATGTAGGTGATGACTCCCGCTGCCCAGATATCCACCTTTAGACCATAGCTGCACACACGACAGTTTAAATCAAGTGTCACTGTACTTCTTTTTCAACCAACTAAAAATCCAGAATCACTTTTGAATTTCAGTTTTGTCTCTCACCCGGTCTCGGCAATGATCTCCGGGGCCACGTACGTCGGCGTGCCACAGACGGTGTACAGCGGTCCCTCCACCACCGTCGCCAAACCAAAGTCACCCAGCTTCAGAGACTTAGTGCCATCCGGGTACTCGCATACCTGCAACACAGAGAGACCAGTACTTCAGGTCCTTCAAAAATACACACAAATACTCACAGGTACTGCTTGACAGAGACATCTGGTGCAGAATGGATGATAGTAATATTTTATAAAGAAATAAGATGAACATGCTATATCGCCTACATCAATACAAATATAATAAAATACAGTATGTAAAATAAGCACCATCTAAATCTGTGCTCGGTAGTTCATCGATGCTGCCTGCACCTACAGCGGTTTAAACTACAGTAACAGAGTAAATTTACACCAGTTGAAGTTTCTACAGGTAATCTTACATATTTGTAAAGTCCAGAATGAGACCGAGAGATTTTACTAGAAAATAAACTGGTTTGCTGCCTACAAACTGAAAATCTCAAGTTTACACTGCCACCATGTAACATGTACTTTGTTTTTGCACTGTAGTCTGTATACACTGTGTACTTGTGTGTACCAGTAGGTTCTCCGGTTTGATGTCTCGGTGGACGATGTTCATCCGGTGCAGGTATTTGATGGCTCCGGCCAGGTTGAACACCATGGCGCTGGCATCACGCTCGCTGTACTTTGTGGAGGAGGTGATGGCATCGAACAGGTCACCGCCCTGATGGAGGGAGAGGCATGAAAATAGTAACTTTCCACGTTTTTAGTGTTTCTAAAGTTTCTTAGCTGCAGTGGCCAGAAGACGAGGAGGAGGAGGAGGAGGAGGAGGAGGTGAAGATGAAGCACCTTAACGAGCTCCATGACCAGAAACAGCTGAGTGGGTGTTTCATCCACCTCGATTAACTGGATGATGCTCGGATGTCGAACCCTCCGCAGCACGGCCACCTCGTTCTCTATCAGATGCTCCTGTCCACACACACGTCCGAGTCAGTGAGTTACACATAAGAACTGTTATTAAACTGCTGTCATTTGTTCTGCTTTTGTGCATTTTTGTTGCTGCCACATGTTGTAAAGCCATGTTACCTTCCCACTGCAGCGAGCTTTGTCAATGATCTTCAGGGCATACTCCTGCCCTGTCGACCTGTCAATCGAAACAGCAGTTGGACAGTAAAGACGGAAATCTAACATAATTCATAACTGTATGAAAGTAACTCAGGAGGCAACAAGTGATGATTAATCATTTAGTTTGTGCATCTACATCTGTGAAGTCTGGGTGATGTGTGCTGTAAATAAACTGAAGTTAAAGTGAACAAGAAGTCACTTTAAAGAACTCATCAAGTCCCCAGAGCCTGAGACAAAGTCTTCAGATTGGTTGTTTGGTCTGAACAACAGTCCAAAAATACAAAGTTTAGAATGATATAAAACGGAGAAAAGCAGCAAATCTTTACAAACGAGGAGCTGGAATGAACAAATGTTTTGGGTTGATAAATGTCTTAAAGCTTTATGTCACTGATCAGAGATTAATCTTCTGACTCAGCTGTAAAAAAATAATGCAAATCAAGTTGAATATTTAATTTTTGAAGGAACCGCCCTGATCTGATTTGCTATTTCACAATAAACATGTCCTAATAAACCCACGGAAGTGGAAGCCAATTTAGGTTTTTGTTATTGACATGAGTGGACAGACATCAGGGAGCGTGGTAAGACGTTTACATTGACAGTTAATCTTATGTTGCTTTTTTATTATTGTTGTTTAAGTTACTGTTTTATTGTCTTGATCCTTGAGTCCTCTTAGTACACTTCCACACCTGTGTTTTAGACTTAAACAGTATCTTTGTTCACCTCTCCACACACTCCTTCACCACGGCAAAGTTTCCATCTCCGATCACTTTCCCGACTTTGTACTTATCATTGATGATGGAGGAAGAAACTGATCGATTTCCGTTCACTGTGAAGAGAAGAAGATATTTTTAGTCTTTGCTAGAATGACTTGACTCAGAGTTGAACACATGACTTCTATGTAACAAATCTGCTTTCTTGAAAATGTCTGCTGTGAAAATTCACCGTCTCCGGCTTGAACCCAGAAACTCAAAGGTTTTCTGTCACTTTTCACACTTGGAGCCTCTGAGTCTTTTCTGCATCACAGGTCTTCAGTCTTTACTTGATGTGTTGACTTTCAAGCACTTGTGGGACGTCTGAGCATAAACTGGGACTAACCCTTAGTGCCAGATGTAAACTGTATTATATATCAAAGAACTTGCTGACATTTCAGGATCCTTTAATCCAGAGGTTTAAAATGTGAACAGCACTAAATCAGTTTTATTTCAGAGCTGTTTTGATCATAACCTTCAATGTTGTTTTAAAATATTTCTGACCAACTCAGTGAGAGTTAAATTTCAAAGTCATGTTTTTACCCTCAGGCACAACAGATTTTAGGCCCTGATACAAATGCACATGGACTTAAGACTGTCAAAATGTGGGCACGTCCACACCTTCAACGGTGTCGTCGTCCAGCTGCTCAGCCTCTCCATTTACATCTGTGGAGGAAGCTCGACGAGGAGACATCTGAAGAGATAGACAGGACAAGATGACGACAGAGTGGCTTCAACAAAGAAAACGTCTTCTTTAGTTGAGATCCAAATGTTACTGCAAACAAAACTTAATCAATGAAATAATCAATCAATCTGACCTTGAAACTGCGTCGTGTCCCAGGGCTGGTGGGGGAGGGGCTGGACCTGGACGATTTTCCAGCTGACTGTGATCCCAAGCCCTCATTGGCTAAATGCAAGAGAAAGGAGCCATCTGATTGGTCAAAGTAATCAGGTAATTCTACCAGCTTGGTGCAAAATTTGTCTGAGAATCTTAACATTTTTACGTTTCCGTCAGGATCACATCAATACAGATACAAGACAGATGTCGGCACTTCCGTGGATACTTTGCAAACAGGAAATACTAAAAGCATATTCTGCATACATTATTTATGCCAGTTTGAAAAAATGTAAACAAACAAGGCTAGATATGTAGTACACTGCCGAGTGTGCCAGCAGTCAGCCATGTTTCAGATGCCTACCTGGTGCACTGGTACGGTGTACCAGGTAGGCACTGGTACTGGTAATTGTCTAAAATGTAAATTAACATGAAACTAAGATTAATCTGATTATACTTGGTGGTGACAGAAAACATCCTGTGAGGGTCACAGGTTTAAAGCCCGAACAGCCAACGGCAGGTAGTTGTGTAAATGACAGGAATGTAAATCATCTTTGTTGTCACACCTGGGCCAGGTGACTTTGTTCTGGACAGGCCTTTGGGCGGAGTCTTGGAGGAGGAGAAGCCGGAGCTACTGGGAGTTTTAGGAGTTGTAGTTTTCTGAGGAGGAGCAGAGCGAGATGCTTTGGTCCTGCACTCTGGACAGAGAATGACACAGAGATATAAATACATTTATTTTCATCAGAAGATGCAGTTTGAGTTAGTGATGTCAAAGATAAGGTCTGTGCTACTGGGTATTTTTGTTTTTGTCCACAAATCCCATGAAAGTGTTAGCCTGTCTCTCAAGGTCCCCCCACCCCATCTGTGGTTATAAATCATAAAATAAACACCTCACACATATCTAATTTCATACTTTAAAAAGACGCAGGAATTTCATAAAACTGTCGGTACCTGTGGTTTTTAGCAAACTTGATCCAAAAAGAAATAATGAATTTGTACATTTATCACCTAAACCAACAGTGAATACATGTTTAGAGCCACAGAAACGAGTCAGTCTAAAAAAAAAGCCCAATTATTATAATTGATTCAAGCGTTGAAGGTAATTTTTAAGCAAAAATGCTCAAAAATACAATAGTTCCAAGTTTTCAGATGTGAGAATTTGCTGCTTTTCTTTCTCTTAATTAAAGCAAAACAAATATGTTTGGGTTTTAGATGGAGAAGAGAATCTCAACATAATCTCATGTGTTTTAGGAAATTTTTCTCTTTTCTTCATTTCTTCCAGCTTGGGTTGGATGTACATTTTGTGCCTTTTTGTTTTGACATTTTACAGATCAAGCGGTTAGTTGTTGCAGCCCTTAAAGTATTAAAATTATGTCTCTCACCGCTAACAAAGGCCTGTGTTTTGCTGCTGTGTGTGAGCACGAAGTCGTCCTGAGCGTAGCGAAACTTCTCTGGTCCACAGGCCAAGAACACATCGTCATCCCCGAAGAAGTCCTGCAGACAAGTGAGCTACACAGACACACACTGATTCATCAGACTTTTGGAAACAGTGCAGTAGCAGACGTGTCGGTGTGAGTGTGACGGAGCAGACGACAGCTGGGAGATGTGGGAGATGAACGGGTGCAGTGGCCTTGAGTTTAAGAGAAGTGAATTTCAAGGCTATGCAGCTGCTAGCAAGAGACTGGCTGCCACACGTGCACAAATGTCCTCCTCTGTCCCATCGACATCACTTTCCCCTGTTTTATTTTATACACAACAGATCCAGGGTCTCACAGTTTGTGTATATGTGTGCATCTGTGTGTGTGCGCAGTGAGGGGTTGTTACTGAACTGCTGGTTGCCACGGGAACCACACCACAGTGTCAATGGGTGCGTGATAAGGTTTGTGTGTTGCTGCACAGACTGAAAGGGTGTAGGATGAACACACACACTGGCCTTGTTTCATTCAGGCCGAGTAAAAACAGTGAAGCCATCTGAGACTGACAGAATAAAAGCCTTCAATATGATGCACTGCCTTCAAAATAAAAGCCTTAATTAAAAGAAAACGAATGTGTAACCTCACAGTGGGTGTGTTACAAATTACCCAGTCGGTGTGTGTGTAAATCCTCGGCAGAATCAAAGCCAAACGTGTGTAAGCAAGAGGACGACACTAGTGTGAAAGCTAAACAGTACATCGCTCATCTGGACTTGATTTAGTTTGCAGCAAGAGATTGCACAACAGGAACTGGTAATGTGTCGTACATGTCTGGCATAAGCCCCGTTTCCATAAAAGAAAGGTTCCCTGGGAACAGGAACCTTTTGTAGAACATAGTTTCTCTACCTGCGTTTCCACTGGAGGAACCGGGGTCTGTATAGTTCTACCCTCCAAAAAACTCCCGCATAGTTTATCTACCTGAGTTTCCACTGGAGGAACAGGGGTCTGTATAGTTCCAGGGTATAGTTCTACCCTCCAAAAAACTCCCTAGTCAGGGGATAGTACATTCTGAAGGTCCAAGAACCAGTGGGCCGAGGCCTGTGGCGCTGAATGTTGCTGACTGGTCAAATACTGCACCACATTATAAACGCAGCATTAATCCTTCACACCCTGCTGCCGACCACTTCACTTCTGATATGCTAATTAGTTTAATCTTCATGAGGCTTCAGCCCTGCTGTGAAATGACAATGCACTTGAGGGTTTTTTACCCCAGCAACGTTCTAGGGTCGAAATGTACCAGGAACTTCCGGTGGAAACAAACCTTCAGGAAGCAACCACGTGATGCAGTCTCCTTC